AGGGTCGATCTGTCAGATCAATATTATTTCTTTTTTTTTTTTTTTTTCTTATGAACCAACTTGGAAAAGGGAAAGAAAGAAAAACATTTAGTTAGATAAAACAGGGATTATTTTTATTATTGATGCATCCGTTGTTTTAATCAACCAATTATTTTTTCGATTTATTGAATAATTGTTTGTTTATAAAAAAAGTCCAAGATGACATTTTCAAACTTTATTGAATAATAAATATTCAGTTTACCTTAATTTAAAATATAGAGCATGTCTTTACATTTGGGACACTAAAACCAGTAAGTTTTTGCTTGAAAAGTGATTTAAATAATGAATTGGTCATCAAAGTAGTTAGGATATAATTTTTCTTTAGATTGATCCATTAATGAAGATTATGTTTTTGCTCTAGAAATGTTAATTTGCTTAATCAAAAAAGGTTGATGGACAATATAAGATATAAATAACAAAATGTAAAGTCTGGACTGGAATATACTATACTATATAATATTCTGGATAAATATAGAATAAATGTGCGTTATGAATTATATTGTCCTCTGCACGCCTTTGCACTTCTTTTTATAAAGAAATAAAACATTTGTTCCCCCTCAGATGTACTACTACATGTGGGTTCAAGGAGCGGCGCCTCCCAACAGTACACAGAGGGAGGGTTTCTGCATACGCTCCACAGTCCGTCTCTCCAAAGCACTTTCCCCAGCCTTCGACATGCGGGAGTATACTTCCAAAGATTATTCAACGTGGACAGAGTCCAGGTGGAAGAGCATCAAAGGACGCATATTCCTGGTGGCCAGTCACGACTTGGAGGTAAACCCTTCACCCCACAGAGTCAAAGACAACATATGTAAAGCAGATTTAACACACCTCCCCTCATGTAATGGGGTAGTGGTTAGTCACATACTGCAGGACATCTGGATTTTAAAGTGAGAATTATATACTAAAGCCAATGGTATATGGTTTTATAGTGAAAATGAATCATAGTGAGGCTAAAGTAGGCCTTCAGAATATGAATGTTTAAACTTTCTTTGAGCAGGTTATGAACACAGAGAATCAAGCATTCAAACTGTTAAAAAGTATGAACATTACAAAGGCTGCATACTCCCTGGCTCCCTTACATACTCGTACAATATAACTCAATAATTAGCAGAACTTCCACGGTGAGGAGGGACACTGAGGAATAAATGTTATTTCCACCCCACCTTTGTTTTCTCTGTCGAGACGCCATTTAAAGCCACAATTTGTAGTGGTTATAACATCTTTAATCTGAAAATGAGGCAGGTCTGGTGCATTTGTGTAACACAAAGCATTGCTGTCTGCCACTATGTCATTTTTAAGACCACCACTGGGGAGTGCTAAAGTCACATATGTTCGAGAAAAGCTGCACTAATCTATTTTTTTATACTAATAATGTATCAAATGAGTGCGTGTAATGTGAGGGGATGTTCCTCATAGTGATATGTTGCAGCTAATGAGCCAGTTGTTTGCCTCAGGTGTCGGTGGAGACCAAAATAGAGCTAAAAGGAGAGTAAATATGTCACTTAAATTGATCCGGTGGACAAAAACACAACTCCAAATAAATGCTAATGTAACAAGTTAACCATATGAACATTATAAGTTGATAATATCTCATATAAATTGTATTTACAGCTTGTTCAACTGCACCTGAATGGCCAAAACAAATTAATTCATAGTGTTTTAATGTGTTGTTGTGTGCAACTAATAAACAAAACATAGAAAAGAAATAATAAGATGTTCCTTCCTTCCAGATGTTGACGCTGGGCGTGGGTATCGCTGTCCTGCTAACGTCCCTGCTGCTGACGTACGTCATCAGCTCGAAGGCCGACATGCTCTTCAGCTCGGGGAGGGAGCCGACCAACGCCACCTACTGATCCACACGGAGACGACACAGGCCCACGACCACTACCACCACTACTACTACTACTACTACTACTACTATTACTACCACAACTACTACTTCTATCTCAAGCAGACTCGGACAGGCTCTTTTTACTTTAAAACACAACACACGTAGGTACATAGACAGGTTAAACACAGCAGCAGAGAGTTTTTTTTTTTTTTACGACAACGACGACGACTCCATGTTTATGGACTCACTCAGGTGAGGCATGACATGAGGACTGGACCGGACTGGATTGGCCTGGATGGATCTGGACTCATCAGGGTCAGAAAACACTGGTCAGGCACCAGCAGGCCCTGCCAGTGGAAAAGATGTTTATATTTGTTTTTGTTTTAGGTTTTTCCTTTTTTTTTTTTTTTTTTTTTTATTGTCAAAGAATGTTTTGTTTACTGTGTCATGGGATAGGCACTAAACATTGAGCATTATTTTGAGTATGATTGTGAATATGTAAATGTGACTTGAGTGAGTGAGCAATTGACTGCGGGATTCAGTGTGTATGAATACAACAGTGTGTGTGTGTGTGTGTGTGTGTGTGTGAGTGAGCCTGAACTTTGTATGAGGATTGCGATGGTATGTGCAATACTTTAGCTGTCTTCTCTGTCAATGTAGTTAACTTATCAATCAGTTCTAATCATAAGAAACCACTTTTTTTGAGTCAATGAACAAGTAGTAACATTTAAATTTAAGGGGGTTTTTTTTGCTAAAAATCTGAAAACGTGTGGTGAAGTATTTTGATAAGCTCTAGGTCCTGGGAAAGTTGACAACAAACCCTAAATATTTATATTGTTCAGTCCCAGTACACATATAACTACATGTGTTCATGTAGTTGTACAGTCGACCGGCAGCAATTTCACATATTGTGATATTTGTGTGGAGAAAGAAGAACTTCCCAAGGAGTCTGGCGTGGCTGACAAACGCTTTACTTCATATCGATCAGCTGCCACAAATCAAATCAAATCCAGTCAGAAAATCTTGTGTTTTGACGCAGAAAACACGCTGGTACTCTGGCTGTGCACTCTTTTTTTTGGTTCATACCTGTTTCACAAGGTTTTTTCTTTTTAATGATAACTTCTGAAAATTGTGACAACATGCAAGATAGGTTTTATTATTATTATTATTATTGTTGATGGATGTTCATTTAATGGCTGGAATCAATGACCAATTGTGATGCCTTGATGAAGAAATAAACATTGCTTCTTTTCCAGTTTTTTTCTTTCATTGTCGATAAACAGCTGACATGTAATCGATGTCTCAGGGGCCCAAAGAGCTCACCGTTATAAATGAGGAGGCGTATGGACTGGTTATGTGAATTATGTAATCAATCAAACACTGTGACCTCAGTTTACAATGTTTTCTTCCTATGCTGACACGAGTGTGATATCATCCTCCCTTTATAGACTATAAGAGATCGTCCACGTGTTGGGTTGCGGAGGAACTAACGTCTGTAGCCACAAGGAACAATAATATAACACTTTTCATCAAAACTCATCGCTCAGTCATGTGTTTTTGTGGTGCTTTACTGATGGCGTAAGGAAGAAAATGTCAAGCTGAGGCCAGAATATTTGTGATTTTGTGTTTCAGAATCACAATAACCTATGTTGTTGTCACATTATAGCACCTAAGTCAAGCAGAGAAAGCCCAATTGTCCTGCTTTGGATAGGTGAATGGCTATTTGTTAACCAGAGAAAGTCTAAAAATGCATTTAGTCATTATCTAAACCAGTGGAGCTCGGCCCTCTGACCTTTTGACCCCTTAAACATAATATGTGAATGAGCTGTGAGCAGCTCGTAAGAGAAATATTATAAAGAGGTAAAAGTATCCAGTGTTAAGAAAAGCAAAGATTAAGATATAAATCTGAAAGAATATATGATTTTGTGTAGAAGAACAGCAGTATGTGTTTGTTATCATCTTGTGACTGCTCAGATTTCTATTGTGAACACATGATTGGTCCAAAAACAACAGTTCTTAATTCAACCTCTTAAAAACAGATTTTATACAAATAATAAATTAATTTATTTAGAAAAACATACAAAATCGTGTTTTTCAAAAGGTATAAATTTGTTCAGGTCACATTGAGAAATCAGTCTGATTATACAAATCATACATTTTATTTATAAAGCCAAAAAAAAAATCACAAAATCTCCTCAGAGGACTCATTATGTACAATATTTAATAGACATTGAATTACAACATGGGGAAACTAAATCATTGTTTATTATAAACATACCACTTTTGTATCATGGAAGGACAATTACTTTAATATTAATATTTATTTCAGTTGTAAAACTAATTCTTACATGTTACTAAAATATGACTAAAGTCTGATGTAACTTTAAGAAAATTTGAAAAATTAAACTAAATTAAATATTATTTAGTGAGATTTGACTTTAAACCTTTAAAAACTATATTATTTAAACATCGCATTTAGCAGCAAAGTGTTAAAACATTTCAACCTCATAAATAATTTGACACAAAATTGTGAAATAAAGCAATATAACAGAATAATAGAAGAAAATCCTGAAATAAATTCCTTTAATTGACATTATTATTACAGGAAATATGACATAATCAAATGTTCCTTTGGTAAGAAAAGAAGTAAATATATAAAACTATATATCAGAATGTTATTTAGATGATGATGATGATGGTTTTGGATGATTTCACCATCCTCAGCCTCCATAAAATGTCCCTCTGCTTTTAGAGCCATTAAAAAAAAAGGGTGGGGGTGGGGGGGACCACTTACTTTGTGACATTACACTCTTCCTCACTTGAGTGTGCGCACTCACCAGAAACCAGAAACATCCCAGGCGGTGATAAATGTGCTGTGGGGGCCTGTGATCTTCACACGGTCTTCACACAGGGCCCCGATACCCCCCGAGGGCGAAACAAAAAAAAAAAAAAAACAAGAGGAGGGGCCAAAGTGGAGAGCTGGAGGCGGGGCGCACGGTGCTACGGCTGAGTGGAAAGAAAGTGGAAAGTGAGAAAATACCTGAATGGACAATCTGGAATAAGTAAGTAGAATATTTCTGTGGAAATAAACCTCGAAATGCCGCCGGCCGGTGGGAGTGGGTGCATGTGAAGCGGCTGTTACGCGGAAGGAGAGGGGAGGATCCGGGGCGCAGGAGATCTCCGGTTTCCCCAAACAATAGTCGACAGGACGCGATGGTCGCCTTTTTTTTTTTTTTTTTTGGGTGAAACCACAGGGAAGTTTAGGACCCTCATCGGTTCCTATTGTTGCCCCCCCCACACACACACTCACACACACCGAGGCCACGTAGCTCTGTGGATGCAAGGTTTAAACGTGGAAGGAGTGTTTGTGTTTTTTATGGCTGATCCAAAGAGAGAGAGAGAGAGAGGGGAGGGAGAGATGAGATGCGCATGGAGGGAATAATCGCGTCCAGTTTGATTTGTACAGGCCGAAGAGGGTTTTTTTGAATGTTCTCCTCGGTGTTGGAGGATCTGAGTGCGTCCATTCATTTGCTGTGAGGGCAAAGAAAAAGGAAAAGGAGCATTTATTTTTTTTGGGAGGAGGGGGGGGATAATTTGGCATCAGGACGCGACCGGTGGGCCCTGGGAGTCTCCCATTGTCCTGCCCTGCTCCAACACCCTCCTTCTTTTTTCTCCTCATTTTGTAGGTCGCACAACTCTTTTATATTCGCCACTAAATGCTCCCGGATGCTTACAGTAAGTCAGCCTTTTGTGTGCATGTGGAATATTGTTGAATTATAGATGCAGCTTTGACTCCTGATCCATGTGAACCGCATCCATCAAAGGCTAAAAATGTGTTGGGTCTTTTTTTTAAGGTACTGTAAAACAGTGTAATGTTGCTTTAGTAGCAATGGGCCCTGATCTACCTGCTGAGATTGTAACTTCTTTATTTTATTGTGAGAATGAGAGTTGTGGCCTTTATTTATGTGTATGAGAAATAAGCTATATAATGTTATAAATCCTCATTAAGAGAGAAGCACCACAGAATACTAACCAGTAACTATAAACTGCTTCCAGTGGGACTGTTGTAGTGATAAAAACAGGATATAAAAAATACCCTTTAAAGTACCAGAGGGTCAGTGTAAATTGTGTTTTACAGTAACAACACGGTGAGCAGTGAGAGGTAGAATAAGAATACAGCTGGGTGCTGTAAAGGTTTCATTGATATACATTCATTCAAACAGCCTTTATGAGTATAAATAAGAGTTTGTACATTAATAATATTGGCCAGTAGGATCCAAACTAACTAAGATAAGAGTCTAACAGTGTGCTCGTGTTGTCTTAAACCCACATTCATTTTCAGTGATATTAAACAGAGAAAAGCTTCAAACACTCACATTTGAGGCGCTTAAGCCACAAAATATTAATTAACTTTCTCCTGATCCGCTAATCAATGATATCGACTGATCATCTCAATACTGATCAGCCTGTCTGACTTCATGCTTAAAGGCTCTGTTCACTCAAATCACAGAAAACTACATTTTACCTCGTGTGCCTTTTGGTTTGGTTAACCTCATTGACAGTTAAAAGTAGGATAAAGTCCAAGAAGACCAATGTTATGAAGGCAAAAACACCAAGTCAATGTATGTAGGATGAATCGTTGCACCCCTACAAGCATTTCTGAGGAAGCAGACAGAGTAGAAGGCATTTCAGTCATTCATATGTACTGTATAATATTGTTAAAGGTGCAAAGTATAGATTTTAGTTTACAGATTGTGGAAACGTCTGAAAGCCTGCGTTTTTCAAATGTCTCGTCTCTGTCTGATCAAAACATTACAATAATCCAACACAGAGAAAAGCAAATAATCACATTTGTGAATCTAGAACGGTGAAAAACGATCAGTTAAATGATTAATTGACTAGTAATTTCAGCTCTAGTTAAAAACCTCGAAGGATTAAAAGGTGAAAACATGAATTAAGATCTCTGGAATCTCTTTAGGAGCGCTGGTGCTGTCTGTGTGTGCACTGTTTTCCCAACCTTGTCTGTTACATCTGTAGATCATCTAGTCGAACCAGTGGGGATCTGTTCCTAGAAATGTTGTTTTTGGTGCTTTTGAGAACCACAAATTAAATCGCACTCGACTTCAGGATCGAACCGGGGGTGGGAAGTCTCAGGATAAAACTGAAACTATCTGTGTAGTTAAAACACCACTTAAGGGAGAGAAATACTGTCAAACAAACCTTTTTTTTTTTAAATGTCCCACACTGTCAAATGGAGTCCTGTATCTGAACCACATCTATCTGTCTGATCGCAGCTCATTCAGCCACTTCCTGCCTCCTTTAATACTTTGTTTGGATATGAAGACGGATTGTATGCGGGGCTCTCTTTGAATCCCAGCACTGAGCAGAGGACAGGCCTGTTGATTCAACCATATCCTGTTAGATTTGTACACACAACACACACACACACACACACACACACACACACACCTGCTTCGGTTTGCCAGCCATGTGTGCACCAGGGCTGACAGTAGCAGTTGTCTTGTTTTTTCTCTGGTTTTACTGATGTCGTTGCAGGCAGCAGTGGGTGGTGGTCAGCCCTCTCTGTCTGTCTATGTGTGTGTGTGTGTGTGTGTGTGTGTGTGTGTGTGTGTGTGTGTGTGTGTGTGTGTGTTTGTGTGTGGCCCTGGTACAGTGATGAGCCTCTTCCCACTGCCGGACCCTGGGTGTGTGCACGCTTATTTTCACAGTTGGTATATCAGGCCCCTCAAATGGCTGTTGAATGGAGCTGGTCATTTTGGAGATGGCCCAGATTGCCTCTCCACCCTGACAGCTGCTGTGTCGGTGCCAGCAGCTTGAAATGTTTGATGACAGCTTGATTTCTTTTTTTCTTTTTTTTGCCTTTGGGGAAACTAGAGGCTGTAAAATCCTACATCTGCTTGTTGTGAACGTAACGTGACTCAAGCTGCACGTTTACAGCAGAATTCCTGATTAATTGTTGTTGCTTTTTGTCATAATTGGTGGTTTGGTTGATTTTGTCCCCCTCCCCCTTTTCAGGGCAAGTTCAGTTCATTCATTTGGCACATTTCTTACCCAAAAAGTGCTTTACAGAACACATAGGAGATATTAGGTTAGAAATACAGGCGTTAAAGGTCCTGTGTGTAGTATTTAGTGGCGTCAAGCTGTGTAGTTGCAGATCAACAACCCCCTCGTTTCACCCTCGCAAAAAAACTAAAGTGGCCCCTTGCTAGAGCCAGTGTTTGGTTTGTCTGTTCTGGGCTACTGTAGAGACATGAAGGATTCCTATATTCAGGTGATTATACACTAATGAAAACATAGTTATGTCTGTTATATTTCATTTCTGCCAATAGATCCTCCTAAATGTTCCATACTGGACTTTTAAAAATCACCTGATGAAGTATTTCAGTTCTGGTGACGAGGCAATACTCTACATACGTTTTAGTACCAATACAAAACGATAGTTTTTGATCCCTTTTCTTTGAAAAATATGAACCTTTTCTTTATTTCTTTTTCATTTGAAAAGGAAACCAAACTTCTCAAATACATCAATGTTTAATTTTCTTTACTAAAAGCAGCTAAATAAGAACTTTGCTTAAAAAAATAAACACTAAAATGAGCAAAATTAGCATTTAAATCAGGAAGAATCTGATCAATTGACATGTAAACAACACTAAGAATATTTAATCAATAATTAATTTCATAGATTTTGATTTTGAGATACCAATAATGTACCACAGTACTATACTTGGCCCTAATCATGGTTTATTATTATTATACAGGCATATAGATGTACTCCTGACCATGATTTCTACTAGAGGGCTGTTTAAAGTGTTAATAAGCAGAGCTGTAGCTGCCATTGAGAACACCAAGGTCGCGTCCTCTGTGATACTTAATGACACGAGAAGAAGTTTACACTATACAGTTATATACATGTTGTTTAAAGCTGATTCTATTCTGTAGACTAAATCTGTTTCTAACTAAATAAAGGACCATCGGATTAACAAACCTGGTCATAATGTATGTAGAGAGATATATCATTTGAGACATGCTGTGATGTTATATTAGATTTTCTCACAGTTTGTTTGGTGGCTAGTCAAAGATTTCTTAGCTGTGTGGGGTTGTGGAAGGTACTTTGGACTTTTGACCTCAGAATTTCTAAAATACTGGCTATATTTTCTAATGTGCCGATAAGGAAGCATCAGCTTTAGCAAGCAGCCCGGCTTTGCTATCAGGTAATGATAAATATTAAACGGCTTTACTCTCCATTTGGCCCAACATCATAACTGTTTAATCTCAAACCACACACCTACACAGATTACTGAACTCGGCTTTTAAATTCAGCCCAGAGTGGAGCGAACAAGGGTCCTTTTCTTTTTTCAAAAATCAGAATTACACTTTGAGGCAGAGTTGTGAGAAATGAGTGTAAAGTTGAGTGTAAAAAAAAAAAAACTCCTGAAATAACCTGAAGAATCGGACTACTGTGTGGTTAACAATGGCTTTCCAGGAACGGTAACTGAGTGGGATGAAAGGAAATGAGCCTAACGACAGATTATGCTTTTACAGAACAGGCTGTAGCTCTCACTTGTGTTCAGATGGACCTTTTTTCTTACAGCGTTAATTTAACTTTAATGCCGCTGACTGGAGCCGTTGAGTCCTGGTGAAGTTCATTAAGTAGGCCATAGGACACTGGGATGAATAGGAAACCTTATCCATCCCAGCACTGGACCACACCTCTGTAGATCAAGTTGTTGTGTCATATTCTCACTAAACAGTCGGACCGAGAGACAGACAGGTTGGCAGACAGGCTCTTCTCAAACTCAAACTGTAGTTGTTGTTATAGTAAATGTTTTACCCAGTGCTGCTCAAGGATCAGGGTAAGCGATACTACTGGAGAAAAGAAATGCAAGGTACCTTAATGTACAAGGTTCCTTCGCTGGTTAGGTTTTTATTCTGTATAATTGGAGATAAAGCTGCAGAGTTGGATAATTAATAATAAAATGTATTTAACTGCTGCTATTATGGCACTTTCACAGATCTAAATGTACACACATGGCAAGTTTCAGTTAAAGCAAAGTTTTGCCGTATTGCTGAGAGTTAAATGAGAAGGCCAATACCGTTACACGCGTCTTAGCTTCGCTTTGCTTTAAGAACTGGAAACGGAAGAAACAGGCTAGCCTCTCAAAATCCCACCAGCAGCATCTCTAAATGATTCATTATTCATTAATAACCACACTATATCACATTTGTGTCTGTCTGTTTCTTGGCTGGGTCTTTGCAGCTGGTCCTGGCCAGGAAATAGTGCAGCACATGTCTCCACATGAAGCAGCGAAATGACAGTTTTTCTGGTGTATTCTGTGCTTTGTAGTTTGTTGTGTCCGAGCCAACGCTGAGGTAACCTTAATGACGCCACTGTGACATCATTAGGATCATTTCCTCGGACTTGACAGGAGAGGACACTAACAGCTGTTTTTTATAGGCGGAGTTAGTCTTAAACATGATTAATAAACAGGTCTGCATGTGGAATATTGCTTGGAAATTGTTTAAAATTTAACTGAGAGGAGCTGCAATAACAACCATGTGACTTAAACAGATCAGCCCACAATCCAGACTGGAAGCCCAGAATCTATAACATAAAACATATCATAAGCAGGTTAAAACTAGAACAGAAATATCAACAATACATGACATTTATTGTCATCAGTGCGAGGCTAGGATTGCAAACCTGTTTCTTTGCTCTATTCAAGCTTTTGTTTTGTTCTTTTGAAAAGACATTGAGTCTCATGTCAGCTCCACTTTAAAAAAAAACACACCCAAACCACTTTTCATAGCATATGTATCTCATTATGTGGACAACCGGGTCAAATATAGGTGTTGTGACGTTTCAGCTGAAACCCGGCATCAGTCCTTCAGACTTGAACGGGAACCGCTCTTTTTTTTTTTTACACTGAAATTCAGCAGAGAAACAGATTTTGACTAAATAATATTGGTGTTGTCATTTAATTGATTGATTGGCTTATAGTTGAAGATGATTTTAGTTGTATAACATCAATATAAAGATGAAGATTACTAATGTTTCCCAGTCCTGAGGTCAGTTTATATGCCCAAACACACACACTTGACCATATTGTGACTTCAGTCATAATTTGATTAACTGTGCTGAGCAAAGCCTGAAGCAGTTCTTTCAACTTTACCCATTTTCACTTATCACTTATATGTAATTTATTCAACCAATGTAGTAATCCAGCTTCATGAGACAGGCTGCAGAGCTGTTACATTTGTTATATATATTCACTCCTCAGAGGATGGATCTCTATTTTTTTTGAGTGACCTCCTGACTTTTTATCTAATGTCATCATCAGGGCAGTATCTTCCTTGACCTAAACTTTTGACCTCTTCTTCTGTATCTCAAAAACTGATTGCAGAAAGTGCTTGAAATGTACTGTCTGTATTCGTGCTCCCCAGAGGATGAATCCTTTTGGCTTTGGCGACCACCCTCACCTGACCACCTCGTACACAGGGAATCTGATGAGCAGATTACCCTGAAAGTCACTGAGCACGTTTCATCCTCCCCAGCGGATGATCTCAGACTACAAAAGTCAACTTTGCACACAACATATCTTCATGGGTTTCATATTAAGGTGATGAAACCCTTTGGATTTGTATAACTTTTCCTTTCAGTGCCGACCCTTACAACAAACTTCCACCGTTATCGTTATCGCCACAATATTTGCTCTGCCCAACATGATTGTATTGAACCTTTTAGCGGTCACTAAACTGGATTTAGACCTTTTTCAATCACTCTCTAAGGCCTTTGGATACAAATGAGCGCTGCGAGGCTTTGTCTGTGGTTACTATAGCTAATGAGATAGATGGTCATGTGTCTGTAGAACTTAAGAAACATTTACTTTTGTTTTCTGTGACTGCCTTTTTCACGTGTGATTGTCAGAGATACAGAGCTGTAAACCAGCTGCTGTGATTTGAGTCTCCAGGATCAGTGGGAGCTGCTCTTCATTTTAAAATGACTCATCTTGCAGTGAAATATGGACAGTATTACTGTAATTGTTATTTTTATGGGGTGGCGGGCTAAACCTTAAGGCCAGATTGTTATTTTGGCCAACGTTTCTCTGTCTGTGAGAACAAGTTCCAGCTGAACTTCCACAACCATTAGATAAAAACACTGTTTAGATTTAGTTCATTGCCACTCTAAAAATATGTGGTTTCTTACATTACGCCACTTATGTGAATGTGAATCTGCACTTTTCTCAAGATGCTTCAAAGCAGCTGAGAAAGGACACATCTTAAATCTTTAATGTGCTTTTTGTAGTTTGTCATGCAACTCTACAATATCTTAAATGAGTGTTCGTTTGTGTGTTGCGTGACATTCAAAGGGCAGATTCCTCTTTGCTGCAGAGATACCATGTGGTCAGCGTGAAACATGACCGTTTTGTGCACTTAATATGGCGTAAAGGCGCAGTAAGACTGTACACAAGATGCTCATTCTTGTGCCATTACTAAAGATAAAAGCTCATGACACACTAGGAAGAGGCTGTTAGTCATTTGAGTTTTGTGGTCTGGAATAGGCATGTTGTTGAGGTTTTGCACAGGGCTGCAGGGATCCAGAATCTTCTCTAGTCTGGTTAGACTTAGTGGGCACTTCCTCCTCAGACAAAATATGAGTGAAAGACAGTAAAACAAAGGAGGGAACAAGGAATAGGAGGACAAACTCACAGTTTTGTCGTTTGCGCAGTATTTTGGCTTGAAGGGAAGTTGATTTTAAACACAATGGCGTTGATGGAGCATAAAAAAACACATTAAGTTAAGTCGGGACCCCGTAAGACGGCGATGGCAGCTAATGTCCCTCTCCATTTCCCACAGAGGGCCAATCAAAGCCACAAGCTCCACCCGCCCTTTATCAATTAACCACCATATGACAGTTCAACATCCGTCATGCCAACACTTTTATTTTGGCGATTTTTTTTTTTTCAGCCAGCGTGGAGAACAGAGTGGCGGAGGGCGGCGTAAGGTCAGGTTTCCACGGCAACTGTCAACCTCCAATCCCCCCTCCAGCTGAACACCAGCTTTCATCGCCATGGCAGCAGTGAGGCCCTGTTTCCCAGGGGACGAGGGGAGTGCGGGAGGGAATGTGAGACGGCGAGAGGGAGGGAGAGGGCAAACAAGTTTTGTGAAAACACAGTAATCCAATATGGCCGCCATTGTGTCCGAGCTAACGGCGGCTAAAGCTGGCTCCTCGGCGAGCGGAGGTACAGTCGTGTGATGATTAACCTCGGCCGAGACCCGGAAGACGTGATATAAGAGCACGGAGCTGAGAGACTAAAGGCTCGGTTTAGTGGGTTTAATGTGTGTTGGTGTCACTCGGAAGGGGTCGATCACAGGGCTCAGTGTGCCGGGGTCAGAGGTCACAACAACCACACACAAACGGGGTCACTTTACATCGTATCTGTGCAATTATACGCCCTCTTGAAACCCGACACTGATGGTCTTTTAGGGACTATTTTATTGTGCAGTCGTTGCTAAATTGGCCAATTTTCATACCTGAACATTCTCATTTGTCGGTGATTTCCTCACAGTTTTCTTATTGACAGTTTAAATCATTATGATGCTTTAAAACGTCCCCATTAAAGCAAACCTGAAACAATTTGCAGATTAATTACATTTTTAAGGAAAGAATACCAAACATTAGTTTGTTCCCACTCCTCACATGTGAAGATTTGCTGCTTTTCTCTGTTTTATATAATTGTAAGTTGAATATATTTGGATTTTGGGCTTTTAAAACAGGCAATATTAAGATGTCACCTTGTGTTACTCGGTTTCAGACTTAAGATATTTAAATTAAGCAACATTAGCCACTAAGCTGCTGGTCCGAACAAGTAAGGCTGTAAACCCTCAGTGGAGACAAGAGTGGACAAGAATGTGTTTAATAGCTTATGAATCAAACATTTCATTTGTAAGAAGAGGGTTGTGTGATTTATTCTTTAAAAGGTTTTATAACCTGAGGTATGTTTTAATTTGTTTAAATAAGAATGGTTTCTGTTACCATGTTTCTACAGTAGACCAGATGCGACAAACAAAAAGCTTTTCGTGGCCACCGTAGTTTCTCCTTCGCACTAGGAATGGCTGGGTGATGTGACAGGGTTGCGTTGTGCAACTACACTACGAGATGCCGGCTGCTGGACTTTTTTTTTAAAACCTAACCTTTTTTTTGAATGCCTGATATGAAGTGTTTCCAGATGATGTTTTATCTTGTAAATTATACCAAGCCCATAATGCATAATATAAAGAGGAAGTTCAGAATAGACCCATGGGCCCTTTGAAGTGCATCCACCTAGATTGTCTGCTGTGATAGCTGTTAGAAGCACGAGGCAGGAAGTTCACCAAGAATGGCTTGAGTAAATACACATGAACCCTCCCCTGCGTGTTTAGTGATGTCCATTCCCTTAACGTCTATAATTATGACTGATGAGTATGTTCAGAGTCACTCAGAATGAGGCGGTTGCTACACCACAATCTAGAGCAAGTCTGAAACAAGTCAGTGTTTCAAAGTTTTAACCATAATTCTCCCGTTTGCTCGTCTCTTTCAGATCGCAGCCACCTCAGCTCTCCCCTGCTGCGACTCTCCTACCCACCGTCCTCTCCCACCCCTCTTCTCCTCCTCTCTGTAGCCTCCCCCCGCTCTCCCTTCTCCCTTCTCCTGCTCCATCCTCGTCGGCCTCCAAGATAGATTCCCTCAGGAGCAAGGTTGACCTGCTCAAGCTGCCCCTCGCTCTCTCCACCAAGTCCATCTCCGAGCGCAAGAGCCAGCTGGGAGGAGTCGGCGAGCAGCGCGGAACGGGGGGAGGAGGAGGAGGCGGGGCCCGTAAAGCCCGCTCACTGACGACCCGAGACATGGACAACGAGTCGCAGTACTCGGGCTACTCATACAAGTCCTCCCACTCCAGAAGCTCCCGCAAGCACAGGTAGATATGACACAGGTCGCACAGAGGACGTCATCTTTCTCTCGCTGGCGTTTTAGCAACAGCTGATCATATTCAGCTTTCTTTCAGTACTCTTTTATATGTTTGTTACCACTGTTTTGTTCTCATTTGAAATATCTACATCCACAACATAACCAGAGGCTACGTTTTGTAACAGTTTCATTTATGATTGCAGAACTTCAACAAATCTTCTAAAAATTCACTTTAAATGTAGATTAACTGAAGGAGGAAGTGTTCCTTAATGGCTTGAGACAATGCTCCTCCTTCCTAAACAATATCTACCATTTAAAAAAAACCCATTGGATTAGTTGAAAAATGCATTGCCAAGCAGAAACAAGGCTGTTTTTGTTGACAGTTTGGAAATACATGGTTTTCACAGGATAGCAACTTGAATCTTGTACTTGTACTGCAGTGCACCCTGAACATGCTGCATCAAAACTTTGACAGGGAGAGTAAAAGAAAGTCATTGCTGCAACATCCTCCATTAACCTCGTGTGTCGCTTGTCTTGTCGCCAGGGATCGGAGGGATCGCCACCGCTCTAAGAGCCGAGACAGCAGCAGTCGTGGAGACAAATCGGTCACCATCCAGACTCCCGGAGAGCCTCTGCTGGATGCAGAGTCAACCCGCGGAGATGACAGGGTCAGTCACACCGCTTTTCTTTCCATTTTCAAGCCACTTTTATCAGCGACCTCCACTTGAGGCGTCTGGTATTTGTGGAAGTCGGTTGTTCCAGATGTGTTCATTTCTTTGTAAATTCTTATTTATTATTAAATTTAGCTCCTTTACCAATTAGAAACATGGATCATTTAAAGGTTCTTTGCTCCTATAAATGTTGTTTTCTGTCCTGCATGGAGTCACTATCACCAGGGTTACAGGTTTTAGTCACACTGGATGCTAAAAGTTGTGTTCCTTAGAGCGTGGATAAATGTTTAACTAAGGTTAAACACACTGAAATAGGAGCGGGCCCGTAAATAGCAACCTGGTCTTCTACTTTCTTAGGTCGCAGACTGAAACTGTGACCTTACTGCTGTTCTTGCTCTTATTAAAATATAGTAGATAGATTTAAGTTGGCCAATGAAATGTTTTAATTTTATTTTTGTGACAAAGCTCGGGCCCTTTTTAAAGGGTATAGTTCTCCTGGTGTTTGTTTTGTAGGAGCTGTCACTTCATTTCAGTCTAGTCTGCCTTGTCAGTCAGTTGGGAAAAAGCAGGTGTTGACATTTGTGTAATTGAGTCTTGGGGCACTGAAGAGGTATTATGTGAAGTTAAAAGGAATGAGTTCATTAAAAAGACTGAGGATGTTTGTTCCTAGATCAAGTGAAGAGGGGTCTTTCTTTAAATAGTAAAGAGGCATTTGCATTTAAGCTTAAGGACACAACTTGGATACACAGGGGGCAGAGAGGTTAATTCATCCCATAACTTAACAGACATTTTAACTTTTCTTACGACAGAGTTTAGTTATTAATTTAACTTTTTTATTTAGAAAGGAAGGATTAAAATGTCTGAAATGATGCTTCTATTTTTGCTCAAGCTCTCCGTACCTTCTAAACACGCCTTTCATATAAACCTCCTGGGTTTCTGCCTCTTTTGCAGGAAATCTTCTCACTAATTGTTTGATGAATTGCCTAATTGTTAACTATAAATGTGCTAGTCAGATCTGGTTAATCATTTTATCCAATAATCTAGTAACACATCTTGGTAAAAACCTGCAGAAAATCTCAGATAATATGATTTCTTCATTTTCATTTCTCCTTGTATTCATTTGCCGCTGTTTCATGGGTTTTATAGAAAATTAAACCTAAACACACATTAATCTTTCTATTTTCCTCTTCGTGTGACAGGATGATAACTGGGGCGAGACCACCACCGTCGTCACCGGCACCTCAGAACACAGTATCTCTAACGAGGACCTGACCCGCGTCACCAAAGAATTGGAGGAGTCGACTCCGCTGGAGTGCAAGCGCTTCGTTGGCCCGGCTCTGGGAGGCTGCCTGAGCTTCTTCGCCCTGGTCACGCCTTTAGCCTTCCTCATCCTCCCGCAGGTCCTGTGGCGTGATGCCCTCGAGCCTTGCGGGACGCCCTGCGAAGGCCTCTACGTCTCTCTGGCCTTCAAGCTCCTGGTGCTGCTCATCTCCTCCTGGGCGCTGTTTCTGCGGCCTCCTCGCGCCACGCTACCACGCTTCTTTGTCTTCCGCTGCCTGCTGATGGTGCTAGTGTTCCTCTTCGTGGCGTCTTACTGGTTGTTCTACGGCGTGCGGGTGCTTGAGCCCAGGGAGAGGGACTACAGGGGGATTGTGGAGTACGCCGCCTCGCTGGTGGACGCTCTGCTCTTCATACAGTACCTGGCTCTGGTGCTGCTGGAAGTCCGACACCTGCAGCCGGCCTTCTGCCTCAAAGTGGTCCGGAGTACAGACGGAGCCAGCAAGTTCTACAACGTGGGCCACCTCAGGTCAGTTAGATGGCAAACGAAATGCTACAGAGTTCTTGATACTTATGTTGCTGAACAAAGATGACAGTAGAGTTTATTTATTTTATGTTAGCTATCAATAAAGGACAAAATAAGATCAGACTACACTCTATTACTGTACTTTTATTTCTTTGTAAAAACAAAATATTCTATGCTCTGATGTCCACTTACTACTTTACTTTGATATTTCCACCGGAAATTACCTGAATTAGAACATTTCAAACCCTGCGTAGAGGCTTTAAAGTTTAAGTTTGTGTCTATTTAGTTTATTCCAATTTTCGAAGTTGGAACCAAAATTCTCTCACATGCAAATCAAAGAGAAATATTTACAGTATGTGTGCACTTGTATCATGCATTTCTGTTTCTTGGTGGTGACAGATACAGGTGGGACAAATAAAGGGATTCACTAGTATTACTTCTGAATATTAAATATATTTGAAAATGTTATGTATACCTGTGTACCAACAGCTTCTGGATGCACGAGGACATAAAAATCAGGGTGAAAATTAGGTTAAACCAAACTATTCCTTTGTAAAATCTTGTTTTTGCTAATTAATTAATATGTGTAACTTATTAGAAATGTGACTAAATACAGTCACAATCATTCAGTCTGAAGGAACCTTCTTGTCCTCAGTACTGTGTATTTTCTGTGCTGAAATGCTTCTTGGACCCTGATTGGCTGTCCTGTAATTTGAATAAACACTGAAATATCAGAATAGGCATGATATAAGCAAAAACTTGAAGATAAGGAAAGTCTTGAATTTAGATTGTGACCCTCTTCACGTCAGGGCCTCAATATAATAAAGTAAGACCCACTTTCAGGCCCGCATCTTGTTAGTTTTTACCTCAGTGGTGCATATTCCCAAACAAACTTTAGAATAAAGACTGAAGATAACCTTATTTATATCCACTCTTTAGATACAAGAACAACCTGATTTGTGAATTGCCCTGTATTACTTCCGGCTGTTATTATCATGTGATACGTGTGTACAGTTTCTGTCCGTCTGCAATCAGCAGCTGGTGTTAGACCTGTACTTACTGTGGCACTGATGATTGACACGCTGTGTTTTCAGTATCCAGCGGGCAGCTGTCTGGGTGTTGGACCGTTATTACAACGACTTCTCCGTCTACAACCCTGCCCTCCTCAACCTGCCCAAGTCCATCCTGTCCAAGAAGATGACCGGCTTCAAGGTCTACTCCCTGGACGGTAAATACAGCCTCATAGCGCCTCTGACGCCTGTTTTATAATCCATAACGTTTTTTTCCGTCAGAACAAGATGATACATTCACTGACACATACTGAGGTTAAACCTTAAAGCAGCTAAAGGTCTTCAGCAACCATTTTACTTCACTCAGATACTTTTATTTTATTCCTGCTCTCACTTGAATATGAGCATTGGCTAAATACCTGAAATGCATTTTGCTAATTCCTCCCTCTGCATGTATTGTCTTGCAGAAAACACCACCAACAACTCCACAGGCCAGTCCCGGGCCATGATAGCAGCCGCCGCCCGGAGGAGAGACAACTCCCACAATGAGTTCTACTACGAGGAGGCCGAGATGGACCGCAGGGTCCGAAAACGCAAGGCCAGGTCAGATAGATAGTCCCTTTTTTCTTTTTTTTTTTTTTTTTTTTTTTTTTTTTACAAACACCGGGTGTGGCTGGGGATTCATTGTGATGTGTGAATGGTGGAGCAGCAGACAGACAATTCAATTCAATTCAGTTTTATTTGTATAGAGCCAATTCATAACAGAAGTTATCTCAGGACACTTTTCAAATAGAGCAGGTCTAGACCGAACTCTTTAAAACATTAATTACAGAGACCCAACAGTACCACCATGAGCAAGACCTTGGCGACAAGGGCAAGGAAAAACTGCCTGTTAAAAGGCAGAAACCTAGGACAGATCCTCCGGCTCTAGGTGGGTGGTCGTCTGTCTCGACCAGTTTGGGGGAGAGGGAGGGAGGGAGAGGGGAGGGAGGGAGGGGAGGGAGGGAGAGGGAGAGGGAGAGGGAGGGAGGGAGAGAGAGAGAGGGAGAGAGAGAGAGGGAGAGAGAGAGAGAGAGAGAGAGAGAGAGAGAGATGCACAACAACAACAGTATTGGCAATGGCAATCTAGCAGGACCATGGCAGGAGGCTCCACCAGGATCGATGAGAACCTGCGAGACGAGAAAGCACAAGAACTCCGGGGAAGAAGTGAAGTTGAACATGCATTAATGGGACATGAATGAGTGCAGAAAGAGAGAGGAAGGGAGGAGCTCAGTGCACCATGGGAAATCCCCCAATAGTCTAGGCCTATAGCAGCATAACTCAGGGATGGTTCAGGACTCACCTGATCCAGCCCTACCTATAAGCTTTATCAAAGAGGAATGTCTTAAGCCTACTCTTGAATGTGGTGAGGGTGTCTGCCTCCCGAACCACAACTGGAAGCTGGTTCCACAGGAGAGGAGCTTGGTAACTGAAGGCTCTGGCTCCTGTTCTACTTTTTAGAGACTATAGGAACCACAAGTAGCCCAGCATTCAGAGAACGTAGTGTTCTAGAGGGGTAATAGGGTACTATGAGCTCTTTAAGATGACCATGAAGAGCTTTATAGGTGAGGAGGAGGATTTTAAATTCTATTCTACATTTTATAGGGAGCCAATGCAGAGTAGCTAGTACAGGAGAGATGTGATCTCTTTTTCTAGTTCCTGTCAGTACTCGTGCTGCATCGTTCTGAATTAATTGGAGCGTTTTAATGGACTTATTGGGGCAACCTGATAATAAAGAGTTGCAGTAATCCAGCCTTGAAGTAACAAATGCATGGATTAGTTTTTCTGCATCTGTCTGTGATAGTATGTGTCTAATTTTTGTAATATTACGTAAATGAAAGAAGGCAGTCCTAGAGGTCTGCTTTATGTGGGAGTTAAATGACAAATCCTGATCAAAGATAACTCCAAGATTCCTGACAGTGGTGCTAGAGGCCAAGGTAATGCCATCTAGAGTAACTATATCTTTAGACAGTGAGTCTCTAAGGTTTTTGGGGCCAAGAACAAGAATTTCATTTTTTTCTGAGTTTAACATCAGAAAATTGCAGCTCATCCAGGATTTTATGTCCTTAAGACATGTTTGTAATTTAGATAATTGATTAATTTCATTGGGCTTGATTGATAGATATAACTGCGTATCATCTCCATAACAGTGAAAGTTATTGGAGTGATTCCTAATAATGTTGCCTAAAGGGAGCATATATAAAGTAAATAGTATTGGTCCAAGTACAGAACCTTGTGGAACTCCATGACTAACTGTAGTATTTATTGAAGATTCATCGTTAACATGTACAAACTGCGAGCGATCTGATAAATATGACTTAAACCAGCTTAGTGCGGTTCCTTTAATGCCAATTTGATGCTCAAGTCTCTGTAAAAGAATATCATGGTCAATGGTGTCACATGCAGCACTAAGACCTAATAATACAAGTACAGAGACAAGTCCATTGTCAGAAGCAGTCAGAAGGTCATTATTAACTTTAACCAGAGCTGTCTCTGTGCTATGATGAACTCTAAATCCTGACTGAAAATCCTCAAATAAACTATTGTTATGTAGAAAGTCACACAACTGTTTGGCGACTAGTTTCTCCAGAATCTTAGAGAGGAAGGGGAGGTTAGAAATCGGTCTATAGTTGGCTAAAACCCCTGGGTCAAGAGTGGGCTTTTTAAGAAGGGGGTTTAATTACAGCTCCTTTAAAGGACTGTGGTACATATCCTGATAATAAAGAAAGATTAATCATATCCAATAAAGAAGTGCTGCTTAAGTTTATGGGGATATGTGGCTCGATAGAGCTGTGACTCTCTGTCAGCCTGGCTACAGTGCTGAAGAGGAACCTAGGGTTATTAGTGCTGAGTAATAGGCTCCTCTGGCGTTACGGAGGGCCTTTCTATAAGTTTTAAGATTATTTTGCCAAATTGAGTGATATTCTGATAATTTGGAAGAGCGCCATTTCCTTTCAGATTTCCTAGCTATTTGTTTTAACTGGCGGGTTTGGTGGTTATACCAAGGTGCTAGGCTCCTATGTTTTAATAATTTCCTTTTTATAGGAGCGATAGAGTCTAATGTTGATCGTAGTGAGCCTGCAGCACTATCGACAAGATTATCAATTTCAGAGGGACTAAAGTCGTTATAGGATTCTGTTAAATTCAGACATGGCATTGAATTAAACACTGAAGGAATCTCCTCCTTAGATTTAGCTACAGCACTGTCAGATAGACATCTGCTGTAGGAAGTTTTGCCTAATGGCTTATAATCTAATAGTATGAATTCAAAAGTTATTAAATAATGGTCAATGAAAATACAGAGAGAGAGAGAGAGAGAGAGAGACAACACGTAGTCTTTGTCTGTGTGTGGAGAGATGGAAACCCATGACTGAAGTGAGAGGGTGAACACTCACTATAACTCACATTTTTATGTTTTATGTTATGATTATTTTTAACGGCTGGCTCTGTAAGTTTCTCTCTTCCTTTTGTTTTTTTAATTTCATACATTTTGAGGGATCTTAAAAATGTGTTTATGTTATAAAATGAATATTAGCAGATGTTTCAAACTCAGTATTGAATTATTATTGGTCTCTACCCGCAACACTCGGCGGTGTCTTTCAGATATCAAGCATATTGATAATTTCATGACAGAAGGTCAACTTGTGTGGTCTGAGGTCTGTGGACCATTTTGTGTAAATGGACACTGGATTTTGACATTTAGCACAATCCAGTAAGTTAATAAAACTGACTTGTTTAGGGAATAATCGATCCTTTATATTTAAAGCAGGGCTGCCAAAAATTGAGCCTTCGGGCCAAAGTTGGCCTGCCATAAGCTTTGATTTGGCCCACCAGATGTTTATAGTGACAAAAAACGAAAAGAAAATTAAAATAAAATGGATGTTTTATTTATTGTGTGGTAAAGAAAATGCCCTTTTAAATATAGGATTCCTTATTATCTTATAATCTGAGCATAGTGGGCAGAGTGAGACACAGGAAGTCGGTCGATTAAAGGATCTTAGTACCATTTTGCATCTTAATAATACAGTACAGTAGGTGTTTGCTTTTGGCCCATAACCCACCACTGTCTTTCAGTTTTGGACCCCCTGATTTAAAGGATGATAATCTTATTTATCTTTATATTTTCCTGTAGTGTTTGTGTTCATCAGAGCCAACATATGTCCCTGCCTCAAAATGCAAACTCACCCATCATAATACAGAATCCTCTGTTTTGTATAGAGATTATGTTGAGAAATAACCACTAAAACTGACTGAAAGTGTTAATAATGATGCTTTCTGTCGTCCCTCTAGGTTGGTTGTGGCGGTGGAAGAGGCCTTCACACACATCAAGCGTCTCCATGAAGATGAGGTCGCCTCGTCTCCCAAACACCCGAAGGAGGTGATGGATCCTCGGGAGGCGGCTCAAGCCATCTTCGCCCCGATGGCCCGAGCCATGCAGAAATACCTGAGAACCACCCGGCAGCAGGCCTTCCACAGCATGGAGAGCATCCTCACACACCTGCAGTTCTGCATAACACACAACATGACGCCCAAGGTAACGACTGAGAAAACCTGAACTTACTCGACTTTTAAGTTGCCCAACTCATCAGAGTCCAGCTGCTTTTTTTAAGGACTCTAAGGTCTATTTTAAATATTGTGTTTGGGTATGTGGGAATTTATAGTTCCATAGTTACACACACAGAAAACTCATGCCGTGTGTTTTAAGACTTATTGGGATATTATTTTAAATTCAGAATCTTAAATGCAAAATAAAATTAAATTAAAAGGAATTCACTATTTCTTCTTAAATTGTATTGATAAGGCTTCAAAACAGCATTTTAACCACTACACAGTTAAAACCTTTGGGTAGCTAGTCAAATATTTATTCTATTTTCTTCTGATTTACAGCCCTAACAGCAATGTAAATAAAATAACTAAAAATGTGCATGCATGCTGTTGTTCACTACAACTGATCAAAAGTACTTACGATACATTTTAAAAATATTTCTTTCTACTTTAAAATAAAGTATTATCTCTTTTTCAAGATAGACAGACAGACTAACAACACGAGGTAGATGACACAAAATGTGCCACAAAATCATTTTTAATGCAATGGTGTAATATTTCATCCTAGAAACAACCTAAATGGCTCCTTCAAACCACATAAGGTAGATGACACAAAATCTTAATTAAACAGAAATGTTGTTAATAAAATCATAAATAACCTTTTTAATACAATCATGTAACATATTTCATCCTAAAAACAACCTCAACGGCTCCTTAAAACAACACAAGAGCTGTTTAAAACCATAAAAATAAAACTGTAATGTGATGAATGTAAAAAACATCAGCAGCCAGCAGAGAGCTCACAGTTTCTGAGCAGTTACTTGAAATGATTAAACAGATCACATTTAGATGTAACTGCACAAAGCTCTAGGCAAAGGGAGCCGCATACAGAGAACCTCTTTTATACAGTTCAGTGAAAATAGGAACTGTCAGCAAATTCAGTTTTAAGATTGACATACATTAATGTAGTTTAACACAACGACAGAAATACTCTCCAATTAAAACATGTCTTCCAGTGTTGCCATGATAATTAACCTGCTGCATCCTCCCTGTCAGGCTTTCCTGGAGCGATACCTCTCCCCAGGCCCCACCATGCAGTACCAGCAGCCGAACGGCAGGGGGCGCCAGTGGACTCTAGTGAGCGAGGAGCCAGTGACTTCAGCCCTGCGCCAGGGTCTGGTTTTCTCGCTGCGACGCCTGGACTTCTCCCTGGTCGTGACGGTGACGCCGCTCCCCTTCCTGCGGCTCGGGGAGGAGTTCATCGACCCCAAGAGCCACAAGTTCGTCATGAGGCTGCAGTCGGAGACCTCGGTGTGAAGGCGGTCTCGTCTTTTTCCCCCATTCTGTCCTCCTCTTCCTCGCGCTCGCTCCCGCTGGACCACTCTCATGGCGGCGGGGTGTGGGGGGGGGCTCATGTGGACGCCATGTGGTTCCGCTCCCATCCAATCATTTCCACTGTCTGTGACAAAGAAACCATTCAAGGAGGGGGGGGGGAGTGTCTGAGTCCTCCTTCCTGTTTTATGATCATCACAGACGCTCTGATATCAAACTGTGATCAGCTCAACGATTGTCCAAAACCTGGAATCAAACAGATGCCTTGACTTTTTTCTTTCTCTGTGTTGTCTTCGCAACACGCTGTACACAAAAACAAAAAAAGGGGGGACTTTTTCTCTTTTTTCCACCTCTTTTTTGCTGTAACCACTGGACTACTTTACTGTGCTTACTCAACATGAACATGAACACCAGAGGTGGGGGGGGATTACATCACATTTGTCACTTCCTCTTACTCATGTCTTAAGAACAGACCAACTGGAGCTCGGCTCTGACTGCAACGCTGGTGTACCACTGCCTTTAGGTTCCCTGTCAGTGTATTGTTTGAGATGACGAGGACTGTTTTTTATATTAAAGGGTGTGACTGTTTGTTTTTGTTTTGTTTTTTTTTAACTTACAGAATGTAGCATTATGTGCGTCGCATTAACGCGTGGCTTTTCTGCGGCCCGAAGGCCAAAATGTCTTTTTATCTGACTGTAAAGAAAAATGGAAGTACATTCCAACAAGTTGTTGCTACTCCAGCCTCTGTATGTTCACGACTGTCTCAATATGCAGCTTTTGTTTTATTCTACACTGGCATTTTTTACTATTAATTTTACAGTTTTAGCAAGAAGACTTGAACAAAGACCCCATTTTTCGCCTGTTATTATGCAATGTGTATCTGCGTATGCTGTCTCGATAAGCCTGTTAAAGCATAAGCCCGGTGTTATTCTGAATTTTTTCATCCAATCCCATAAAAAGACCAGAATAACCAACGGTGTGTTAGCTCGTCTCTCGATACTTTCATTCCTACTGAAGTTGGAAATCTTTAAAAACATCAACTTTCATTATAGAAACTTCCAAATAAATTCTAAAAACAGCGGTGCACTGTAGTTTGTAGCAAACGTTGCTATAAAAAGAGTAAATATTGTATTCAGTGGGCAGTATGTTAAGTCGTTGACACACCAGTGAGTATTGATGACAACAGGACGTGTCTGTGGGATTAATTTAAAATAAATTATAATGCCCATTTTTGGTGGCAGTGAAGAGAATATGCCACCCAGTGCAACAGTCTGACTCACTGGTGTGTTTTAATAGTTGCCTTTCTGGCTTTGGATACACAAATAACACTTTGTTAGGATGATCAATTGATTGTTTGTTTGTTTTTTGTCATGAGAATTAAAAAAAATTAAGAGTACTGCCAGATTTATCCTTTAATGCATCAGAACTACTAGATCTACCACTGGGTGGGTTAGATGGGATCTGGAGGTCTGGATTGCGTGACTAGTGGTCAGTGTGTACACAGTCTTTACAGTTTTGCCGAATTTAAAAGGAAAACAAATACACAACAAGCTTAAAGGTCACCTAACGCTATTACTTCCTGCCAGTTGAAGCCGCAATAATCAACACACGATCACTCCCACTGCAAATGGAAAAATGTTTAGGGCTTAAAGGTTCAACCTAAGGTCCAACTCACATGTTGTTTCCAGGCCGTCTTCGAACAGGCAGTGGGGTTACGATCTCCCCCTCATATATGAAAACAAATACTTCTATACTATCTCTGTCTTCTGAGAAATCTTTGGTTTTATTTTATTGTCAATATTCCAATATAATCTATTTATAATAATATAATATAACATATCGTATTTGTCAGGGATAGAATTAGTATGTTAAGTCATGTCGTGGGCTCATTTCCAACCTTTTATCAAGACTCATACAGACATTTAATGTCTGATATTGAGTTACGTGAATGGTCGATAAAATCGATAAAAGATACCAGACACCTGAAAACAAAGTTATATCATGAAAGACAGCAGGTGTGAAACAAGATGCAAGTGTTTATTATAAAAACATATTAACACCTAAGAAGACATTCAATCAGGCAGCCATTGTTCAGCCTTTATCATGAGCTGTTGTTGAAAGCTTTGGAAATGACACGCAAATTCTACCTGGGGGTCAATTTTAATTTATTTTTGTCTGACATTGAACCTGCCTGAGCTCTGCCTATCTAATTTGCATATTTATTTCCAATCACAATGCAAAATTGAGACATGAAGAACACTTATTAATACCAGGTGTAAATCCAGAGGCCTGTGATCTCATTATCCAGATACACATCACATATTAATACCAGGTGTTACATGGGGTTTGTGGTCTATTACAGGCTTTTTTTTTTTTTTTTTATCAATATCCACTTTAAGCTGTAGTTAAACTACGAGCTGACTTTGATGGTTTTTATAAGTGTTTTTTGATACATTTCAACAAAGATCCCAAACCAGACGTGTGATTGTAACTCCTCTCTGCGGCTCCTCTGCAGCAGTAGCGTATCACCGCCTCGCCTTGTGCCCACGAGCTGAACCAAGCACAGTGAACACGCCGCCTCCATCCGACAGCCTTACTCCCCCAGATGTGGAGGACCAGCGATGGGGGCACATCTGTCCCTCGCACTGACCCCCTTCTTCTCTTTCCACGTCCCTAAAACTCACTGTAACACCGAAAACTCGCCCTCATGTTTAGCCTCTCTCTGTTGTAACTACCTTCAGTATGTTGAGCCACAGCACTACTGACTGTCTGCGTTTCTTTCCAGTGAAAACATGGTTTCAACAAGCCCTTTACAGTTCTGGAAAATATCCAAACAGCAGGTCCGATGTGTGAAGTTTCATCCGAGTGATCAAAATGCAGATGTTTTTTTTGTTTTTTTTTTTACAAAAAAAAAGAAAGCATGCTAGAGTTATTTCGGGCTCCAAAACTTTTTTATAATAACTTGTTTTCTATCCTTTTGAAGGTGCCTAAGTTATGATGATGCAATTTTACGAATGTTTTTACTTTTGAAAAACAAGTGGCTTGTAAAAAGAATTTGTAGATTTGTCTTGTATTTTCTTCATTTTGGTAACTTGTAGCTTGTATAGTGTGTTAGGCATTTCATTATTAAACCATTTATTCCTTATACGTCCTCTTTCTGTCACAAGTTTTTGGAGAGTGGGAAGTCGACGCAGGGAAAAACTCTCTTTGATAAATGATTTCACCGACATATTTGTGGTTATGTGACATATATTATACTGATTCTGCTTTCTGTTCTTAAAAGTTTTTGTTGTCATCGGTCGTGTTGAAACGCTGGACCTGAGAAATTTTCATGAAAAGAGGAGCAGACTTGTTTTCTGAAGAGCTTTAGAGGAACTTCTGTGAAGGGAGGATGGTTGTGTGGTAGGCTTGTGGTTTCACAGCTTCAAAAAAAAAAAAACGGACAGAGGGCCCCGGACTTCCTGATTGCCGCTGCTCTCACAGCTCACTTCAGAGGGGGCTTTTTAAGAGATCTTGCTGACAGCCGTCAAAGGAGCAACACAACAGACCTTTCATCTTATCTGGAGCTCGCTTGGTAAGATGTTGCGAACGCCGCTCTTCGCTGTCATTCTGCTGATCAATCCTACCTGCAGCGGTGAGGATTAGTAAATGTCACTTCTTTGAGCTCTCGCAGAAAGGTTTTTTTAAGATATTTCTAGCACTGAAAGTGTCGTAGACACTGGGTGGATTTAACGGTATCAAGACATCTTAAGGTTTGTGGTGGAAGTGGTGGTGATGATGATGGTGACTGATGAAGATGGTGTGTTTTCTGTGTCCAGAGGCCATTGAAGACATGAACATATGTTACGTCCTGGATGGGATTCTCATCCTTTACGGCATTATTCTCACCGTCCTGTACTGCAGACTGAGGGTAAGACAAACAGGAACAACACACACACCACCATGCTGAAAGAGCAGAACTGATCCTAATGCTTGTTCTAACGATAGTCAGAGTTATAATGCTGACAAAGATATGATTATTTACAATAAACTTCTCATACTTTGAGAGGAAAGTCATGAAACTGTCGTCGACATGTTGTGCCTTCGTGTTCATTGTAGTGACGTAGTTGACAATTTTTTTTTTTATTGTTTGCTAGTTTAATCTCACAGATTTGAGCCTATTTTCACGCCTTGTAGTAAATATGTGAATCGTATAATCATGTGAGCTTCCTGATTTCTGATTGATTGAATTGATTTTTAAACAGATGAGTCCAGCCAAGACGCCTGACAATCAGTATGAGGTAAAATTAAAGTTGTATATTCGTGTTGTTGTGACAAAAACTACTTGAAATGTGCTTTGAGAAGGGTTTTGTTATGTTTTTGCATTGGTTGTGCCCTCTAAGGCGGTATTTCTGTTTTAAAGCCAACATCAGTCTATCATTTCCTGTAAGCTTGAGCTGACCACCAAACCTACATTATTTATACACTGTACAGAGTCACAGTTTCCACCAGCATTTCTTCACACTAAACAAGAGTCAGATCCCACTTCCTGCTACATGTTGTAAAATGACATCGTGTTCATGCTGAAAGCTTAGAATAATTTAAGTAATTCACACTCATAAACACCACTTTAAAGACACAGACTGGAAGGAGGAACCAGATCTATCAGATAAGGCCTCTGGCGTATTCATGAAGAAATGACTTACTGTTACTAAAGCCCACTTGATAATTCCTTTGAACTGTTTCCATCCCACAGAAGCAGCCCGCAGAGGGAGGCATCTATGCGGTGAGACTTCTCATTCTAATGCTTAAAAAGACTTTTAAAAAGGCACATGATGGAAAAGTGACAGCTTACCGCAAAGCGGACGGTAAAAGCACCTTTATTTTTTTTGATTTAATTCTGTCACCTGGCTGGCAGAAAATAAACCAAAAAACATGTCACACCAAAGAGCAGGAAATGCTCACTGCATTTATTTATGGAAATGTATTTTAACACATCATATCAGGTGTTCTTCTCACTATTTTTTCTTCTATCTGTGTGTCTCAGGGTCTGACTTCCCACAGTACTGACACCTACGAGACCATCAGAATGGACAAAAAGCCTATCGTCTGATAAAGGAACATTCGGTGCAGAGAAGATGCTGAGAACAGAAACAGCGTCGGGTCTCTTAAAGCTTTATACTGTATATTTAGTGAGCTGATTTATAGTTATATATGCCTTTTCTTCTCCTTTTTTTATTTTTGTAAAATACTTTTGTTTCTAATCTTTGTGTCATGCATGCATGAAATGTTCAAATTAAATTAATTTAAGAATTTACTAATAAAGGCTATGTCCGTGTGTTTTGGCTGCATGTCTGTCTGTGTTTCACAGCTGCTTTTACACAAGTTACCATGAAAACAGAAGTTTAAATTTGTCTCTTGTTTCAGTTCATGTGTTCCCTTTTTTTTTTTTGTAAATGAAGGATTTCACTTTATATGAAAACACATGTTAAGTGTAACTAATGATTATTTTTACTATCTAATCTAATAATATTCTTATTATTGTTTAGATTAATCTTTTGGTGTACAAAGTAGCAGAACATTATGAAAAATGCTCATTACTAAGCCCATTATTTCTCTGTGAACTAATGATTAATCTAATCTATGCTTAAATAAAATTGATTTGATTATCTCAAATCATGTGGTGGTTCTACAGGTGTTAAGGGGTTAAGCTTTAGTAAATAAAACTTGGATTTGGGAAAGTAATGGATAACCTTTAGATAGAATATAACAAATCTCAAGCAGATTTCAGTTAATTTAATTAAATTTTGAAGTATCTGGCTCGTTACAGTGTTTAAAACACTCACCAGTTTATTTTTTATAAGTTTCATGTCTATTTCTGAAAACATTTTATTACTGCAATTTATGCAAAATGTGCTTTATTTTTACGGCAGAACATTGCAATGTTACATTTTATGAATAAATGTAACACCTTCATTCTTTTAAATAAACATTACAATTAACCAGAAATAAGGACATCTTCATTTTGAGCATCCAGGCACATTTTCACTGTAAAAACCTGTTTTATTTCACCCTGTGTGACAGCAGATCCTCACTCAGACTCTCTCACTTACTTATTTACATAGAAACATAACTGGAAATGTATTCAAAACAGATCCATAACAGCCTGTGCACACTGTCTGTTTTCCCTGAGGCTCTTCACAATGACACAAGGAACTCATTCACTCATCCAGATTCCTGTTGCAACACCTTCACTCTTGAGGCAAAACAAGGTTGAAAAAGATTTGGTGTCATGGCTGCATTTGGATGTTTGAATGTTTATTAAGGTTAACATACATGTTTTCTCTGGAACCGATCATATTATCATTATTAATCATTAATTCAATACAGTTCCACAAACATTTACTGCAGCTGTTGTATTGGCTCTTTATGCACTTTTAATTAAACTGTGTAAAACTCAACCCAATAGGCTGATACTGTATGATAATATATATATTGTGGGGGGAGAAAATACCTTGTGAACTGTTTATTCATATGAATGAGGGATTCAGGGCTGTATCGAAAGCTTAAGCAAACAGTTGAAACAATAACAGCATCTGCCTGTCAAACGTAAACAATCATGTTGTTTTGGAAAAACTGAATAATTTGGAATTTCACACGAAATTATGCTGCGTTCAATTCGTCCTGGGAAATTCAATATGTCTGTAAAAATTGGCACTACCATGTGTTGTGTGTAGAGACGGGTGTTTTATATTTGTTTAGCTATCTTATTACCAAAAGCTACTTTGGTACAAAAAAAAACAATTTGTTACTACTATAAAGTGACAACAAAAACAACTCTTAAAGCTACAGATAGGCCTTCAGATTGTCCTCTGTGACTTTTTTGCTACTCAAACGTTTACCATGCTAAAAGTCAGAGGTCCCATACATTTGAGCATCTCCTACCAGTAACCAGCCTACAACACTTTGGTGACATTTTCATGGTAGAAGGAACATTAATACCAAGATTATTTGGTATGAAATATGGTAAACAATAAAAAAAAAAGATTTTAATATACCTAAAATGACAGGAAAATAAATATTTGTGTCACACAGACTATATATTTATTGTTAACTGAGATCATGTCGTTAGGTAACAGGATTTATCTTCTTTGTTCATTGAACTGCTTCAGGGGCTAAACTGTAAACTCCTATATCCGACTTTCTCAACGCTACGTGAACGCCGCATTAAATGGGCGTGTCCAGTTAACAAAGTAGGCGGGGCCGACTCAGGCAGGTGTAGAGGCTCTAACCTGTGTTACTTTCAGCCTGTGCGTGACAAACGGGGACTTGTGTTTGGTTCAATGGACGCTTTATTTTTCTTTCCTGAGTCAACTCAAATCTAATATCCAGTGTTTCCGTTTATCTGTTTACTTTTATTTCTCTGCTCAGTTCTTCTTCCAGCTGCTGCAGGGCGACTTTTTATTTTCATTATTGCGCTCGAAATGAAGTTAAAGCTGTTTACAACTTGCACTGAACAACATTCAGCTCGTATTAGTGGACAACAGTGGAGGATTTTTATATTTTAAAGCCTCGTATGTGAGATTTTTTTTTAAAGAGGAAACACCTGTCGCACCTGCACACAGGTGTTTGTGGACTCTTCCAAACACCTGCACTTTGCTTCCTGTCTGACCTTACAGCAGATATTAATAATGAAAGCTTAAAATCACCTTTAACCTCAGAGAAGGAAGTTGATTCAGACCTGCTTCTTTATGTTGGGACTAAAGATGGAGCTGACCGGGCAAAGGGCAAAATGTCTGGCGTTGCTTTTACTAGTTGGTGAGTTTTCTGTTACATTCATTTACATGACAATTCACTGATTTACACATCATTCACTGTCTCTGCTGTCATTATGGGATACAACTGTAAAGTACAGGTTGCTTCTTGTAGCCCACTTTAATGAAAAGTGACTCTAATATCCCCCAAAATTGAGTTGCAGTATGTCTGATATTAACTATTGAGTTAACAGGAACATTTTCCAATTTATATACTGAGTAATATTCCTTTAATATCTAATAGCTAATAGCAAGCAAACTACTTTCACTGCAGAAGTTTCAAACTGCTTTACAGGAAAACGAAAAGGGGAAATATGGAAAGAAATAGTAACTTACATTTCCTTTATATTGGCTATAACAAGACTATAATGTTCACACAAGCACCTGCAGTGAGGCTGTAGTGACTCTTTGTGCCTTTTTATGGACAAAAATATACAAGATCTGTTTAATATTTCTGTATTATTCCCATATGGAAATGTCTCCTGTAGGATAACTATAAATCTATTACCTGCATGTGCCTTTAATCATGTTGTCTGTAGTTACATTATGTGGCCAAAAGTGAGTGGACACCCATGATCTTGTGCGTTTCCGTGTCATTTATGACATGTGGTGGTGTATTATTTTCTGTTTCTGAAGACAGATGATGGAACATTAAAGATGATGTTTCATTAATGCTGTATACACTCTTTGGCCAGGCATCAATGTCTACTGTTAGATAAGTCTGGGGCTGTTTTTCCATGGTTTGATTTGGGCCTCCTTGTTCCATTCCTTCCTCTCTATATGGCCAAAACTATGTGGACACCCCTGATCTTGGTGGTGCAGTGTATTTCCATCTAATCTTTAATGTGTGTTGGTGTATTTTTCTGCAGATAAATAACCAAACAATGAAGATTAGGGTTCATTAATGATGTATACACTCTTTGGCCAAAAGTACGTGGACACCCGTCTCCACTGGTTAGATCGAGGCCTCTTTGTTCCAGTGTAGGGAAATCTAAATTCTCCAGCCTATGTTGATATTTTAGTCAGTGGTGTGCCTCCAACTTTGTGGCAACAGTTTGGGGAAGGACATTTCTTGTTCTCGCAACTTGTATCAACTCAACCAGGTCCATCAGAAAATTGTTTTCCCAGTTAGTGTGGAAGAATTTGGCTGTACCTTTTGAGCGAGTAAATGAGAGCCACATCCTAAAGCCACATTTAGAAATCTCCTGGAGCGTCTTTATACAAGAGTGCAGGGTGTTGTATCAGCAGATTAATATTTAGATATTCAACAATCACATATGGGTTTAATTTGTGGGTGTCCACATACTTTTGGCCCCATATCTTTCTTTCACCTGTAGGTGTGTTGAAACAAGCAGCGTGACAGAATGTCGCTCAGTCACATTCTTACTTTTAGTAAACATGAATCAGAACTTATTGCCCAACCTGCGTCTTCCTGTTTTTTTTATGACTAACTCTGTTGCTTTTGTTTCCTTCTTTAGTAGACTCTAAACTCAGACAAAACTGGAGCTCTATGCTGCTCCAATTAACAGAGCAAATGCACATACTAGACTTTTTTTTCCTAAACTGACAACCACAAGTGTGATAATGTTTCTCCCGTCCTGAGTGAACAGGAAAAGCTTGTATAGCAGCCTTGTGACGTTAAAGTGAACCCGTGTTTGTCTAAAGCGTGTGTGCAGTGTTTAACTCTTTCCTTCAGCTTGGTGTTAATCTCTTTAATGACACTCTCTCCTCTGTCTGCATTTCTCTTTGCCTCTTTCTAAAGTCATACTCTTTGTCTGCTTCTGTCTCTTCCCTGTCTTTCCTTTTTTACAACTCTTGTCTCTTTCCACTCCACAATTAGGTCACCCACACTGTAGTTCTTTGTTGGACAAATTTAAACTTTCTGTGAGTGAGGAGATCTGTTTCCCCTTCTTTTCTCTGTCACCGTTTTGTCGATGTGTCCTTGCACCAAACTGCGTGGGATTATCTCCTGTGGGAGTCCGTATCACATATCGGCTGCAGTGTAATCATTGATTGAGCTCATGAATCAGTAACCACAGATAAAAAAGGAAAAAAAGTGTGTTCACCCCCAGAAATCAAAGGGCAAATGTTTGGTTTTTCCTGTTTGAGATGTTGATGCATTGCTCTCTCACACCCTTTTTCACTCGTGTGTGTGTGTGTGTGTGTGTGTGTGTGTGTGTGTGTGTGTGTGTGTGTGTGTGTGTGTCTGTCCCACGTTTAGATGAAGACTTTTAACCAGGTGTGATAAAAGTCCAATCAGTCTTAGTCATCAGTCGGCATTGACAGAGTTTTTTCAACAGCTTGAGAGCTTGCTGCAGTGTATTGAACTCTTCCACTTTCACACAAAAACATGTGTACCATTCAGTGCTTCTGTACAGAGTTGACTTCCGGTATATGTAAAAGAAAATGTTGAATTTCTGTTCTGCGTCAAATTCACAATATGAAACAACAACTTTGTACTAAAGCAACAGGCTGCAACTACCAATCGAAAGGAGAGTCACAGCTTAAATACCACATCCATAACTGATAAAAACATT